ACACATGAGGAAGTAAAGCTAAACATAAGACACCAGAGACAAGTAACAATACTAGATAGGAAGAAACTAACAAATACAGACGCCAGACACACATATGCACAGTCATTTAACATTCAGGGAAACTAGAAAAAAACGAACCAAAACACAAGCAATCTGGTAATGCATGCAAAAAGCTAATAGAAGCTAGGTTTCAATTAAACAATAACTAAAAATAATAATCCTAACAAAAGTCCTCAACTAAGGGCTAAACCTGAAAAACATAAGTAAAAAGCTTAAAATAATAGACCTAAAGGCCATAATAGCCTCCTTACCTTGTATCAACATCTCTTTGGACCTCATATTGAGAGTTCTAGTGAACATCTACCGAATGTATGCTCAACCCTTAGAATCATCTCTAGATTTCTTTATCTGCTTAATTTGTCATGAAATAAGGAGAGAACAGGCCACACTGGTCATTTAGCATTCAGCATGTGATGTAGCTTCACTGGCACAAAGAAGAGAATGATGTTGTCAGCAAGGCTTCATGTTCAGACAGAAACCAAGGCAAATTTGTTAAAGTGGAACACCACACGAAACAGAGTAAATAAAATAATAAAATTGTTCAAAAATCTGATCTGATACTGAGTGATATGAAAGTGTGGACAGGATTCATCATAGATTCACACATTGTCCGACATGATATGTCTCAGCAGGCCTGAGCATAGATTGTGGTTCACACATGAACCAGTCCTTCAGTGCAGTTATTCTCCTATCCCCTATTGATTGTGGTGTTGGATAGAGACATATTAATCAGAGTCATCTGGCCTTCTTTGTTCTCCGTCGTCTCCCTGCGTTCTTGTCCTCTCTCTTAATTTGATCTCACTTTCTGTTTGGTTTTGCCTTTCCCTTCTCTTTCTCCCGTTCTCACATATCTGCCTATGACTTTCTCTGACTCTGCAGTTTTGTGACACTTATGTGAACACTGTGTCTTCTGAAGGGCAGAGTCAGATATTTTATAGTGTCCTTTACAACAAAGACAAAATATATCCTATATGTACAGTACAGTGTACAAGGGGCAAAAAAAATTCCCTTGCTGTACATCCAATCCATGGTGATACGCCTCAAAGGAGACATTTTAAGACATACTGCAATAAATCTCCATTATTATATAGTGAGGATATCAAGGGAGAGGTATAACAGTGAGTGTCTGCAAACAGAAAACACGGTGGAGACTCTGTCAAAGCCTGCATTTCTTGTCAACGTTGTCAAAATTGATTAAATTATAAATGCAGAAAAGTACCATCAGACTTTGATCCTACTGTTAACTGGAAAGTGTTTCAATGGCAAAGAGTTCGATTTTTAAGGATATCAGTGTTCCCAAATACACTGCCAATGCAGTAAAAGCATAACTGGTAGGGAAGGGAATTGATAAGAATTTAGAAATTCCGATCCCATTATCGATATCACTCATCGATTCTCATTGGGTTCTTATTGGCTGCACTTTGAGAGTCACTACCATCGCTAAGCAGCATATCAAAGACATTACATTTGTGCAAATTAATTGCATGCTGTTTGGTCAAATGTTTGTGCATGTTGGAGGTATTTTGCCTGTTGGGGTAATTACTAAAAAAGTAATGTATTACATATATTACACAGAACACTTTCCTAAAAGTAATGCAGAACATTACTTAACTACTCGCAGGAGAAATTAATTTGTTACACTACTCATTACATCTGTTGTTACATGAAACACGTTGTCTACATATGCTACAGTCCCACACACCAACACAAATCCCTATTCTAATGAAGGCACATATATAATCTTTCTCCTACTATTTAAGTATGAATACAAAGCAAAGATAAAAACCAGTATAAAGAAACATGGAAACATTGTTACCTGTTGAAGTTCAGGGTCTGGTTGCTGGGCGTGGGTCTGCATTCACTCAGTTTTAACACAGTCTGGGTTCTGGGCTAGCTTAGGGTTAGCATGCTGTATATGCTAGTACTTGCAAAGAGCCAAAGTTGTGTTGGAAGTATAATGCAGTTGTGTCTGTTCTGGATGCAGTTTGCACTTTACCATTGTGCTCTCACCCTTTTGTGCAATAAAAATAAAAATAATGTTCATATCCTGTCATGGTCCTGGGCCATGTGGGCCCAGTATTCTTAGTTCCTTGTATTTTTGTATTTCGTTCCTTAGGCCATGTTTCCTGAGTTGCCCTGTTGTGTTGTTCCCTAAGTGTTTTCCCTTCGTGACTCTTACCCCCTGTGTGCCCCTCTGTGCATTTATGAGCCCTCGTCTCTCTTTGTGTTTTATTCTATGTTTTCCCCAGCCCGTTATGTCTGTGTTCTCCCCGTGCTCTCTCTCCTCCTGTCTGAACCTCTGTACTTCCTGTTTTACTTTGCCCGTCTCCCGTTAGTGTTGTGTTCACTCCTGCCGTGTCTTGTTATGATTATCAGTGTCACCTTCCCTCGTCAACCCTCTGTGTATTTATGTCTGAGTCTCCCTCAGTTCTGTGTCGCGTTCTCCCTCATGTTGTGTGTGTTCCTCCCTGTGTCTCTTGGCGAGCTTTGTATTTAGTTTTCCCAGTTTAGTTTTGTATTTCCTACGTTCTGCCTCTCCAGCATTAAAGCTGTGATTTTTTGAGTTCATCCCCGTGTCTGTGAGTTTTGCATTTTGGGTCCTCCTCCTGCCTGCCACACAACGAATCATGACATATCCACGTTGTAGATGTCACCACTATTTTTCTCCTCCAGCACACACACTGAAGTCAGCTGATTGTAGTACTTGTGCCGGAGCTGTGAGTGGAATTGAAAGGCAAGCAGGCTAACAATTCCAAGGAATTGAACTGCTGGGAGCCGGACGTCTAAAAGTACTGGTTCTTGATTCCCACCCCTAATACCTGAATATAAAAATACACAGTGGAACATTATCAGTCATAGACTGGCGTCCTAAGAGCTTGAATTTCAACATCATTGAATCACTGTGGGATCATCTTGACATAGAATGAAACAAAAGGCAGCAATAGCCAAAGAAGAGCTTTGAATGTCCTTCGAGACGTCCTGTAGACTACTTGAAGAAATTACAGCTTGCCTAAGAAAGTTCAGGCTGTGTTGAAGAATAAAGGTGGTCAGACTAAATGTTGACTTTCAAGCTTGTTAGAATTATACAAACTCTTTTTTGCCACATATACTTAATTTCCATTTACAGTGCTATTGGACCACCTGTATAGTAAAAAAAATAGTAAAAAAAAATATATTTATTTAACATATTTTTAGGCAAACTGTAACAAACTAATCTCATGCTTTTATAACCAGATTTCAACCAGCACAGCAAACTTCACTGAGAAGTCAAAAATTAATCAAGCATAACGTTCAACCACTAAATTAATTTACCTCTTTGAAATGCAAGTAAATTACTGCAATTTTGGTGTTTTAAAAAACTCAGATTTACTGCTTTACTATTTGTTCTGCTTTTTTAAAACATAAAATTTTAATATGAATGGATAATAACAACAATTTTAGCATTAAAAATATCATATTGATTGTGCATACTGATGTAACCATTACAGCAACATAAAAAAATATTTTGATAATTACTAACACTGTTAGTTTAGAGCAGCTCTGATATAAACCTTACACTGGGTGGTGGTCTAATAAATGTTCACAATTCGTTTGCATTTTTCAGTGCATGACCACACCTATTGCTCCTAGCTGACTGAAGTCCATTCATTCAACATAGGAGAAGTGTATGTGAAATGCATGTGTATGTCACGAAAACCCCTTTGCCTTTTTAAATCAGTTAAGGTAACTGTTCCCTTTTCTTTCTCAACATCACTTTTGGTCTATACTACAAGCCCAAGAGGGGTGAAATATTGCAGTGTTGTCCATCACAGATGATTTTTGTTGGCACTGTTATAACATGCCAAATTACTTCTCACGGTTCATTTTGCATTCAGTGGGAGCTATGCGTCTTAATGATGTAGTTAAATCTAAATAAAGACTTCACTAAAATAGATTTTCAATGAGTCACATTGGGTACATGCAGCTTTTTGTAAAGCCATATTTACTCTGAGTTAAACTGCTAGTTCCAAAAGTGAATAACGTTAA